TGGTGGTGTTGCGTAAGAAGTATTGCGACGTTGTTTTAGTGGGGGAACTGCGGCGCTCGGTGGGGTGCGGCGCTCGGTGGTGAAACACGTTATAACATGTTCATCTACAAAACAGTATAGTATCTTTCATCTAACTCCATTTGCGCAATACCAAAAAGATATTTGGTTCTCTCTTACCAGGAAATTTCCATCTGATCAACCATGACAGTCCCGTTCCACCACGAGCAGCTGGACCGGTCAAGGCGCGAGATAAGGCTTCTCGAGCTACTCCCGAAAAATCAATGGCCAAACGATTCCCAGCCTGCATGTCGACTGTTTCACGCTAGTCTTGATGAACATCCACCATACCTGGCCTTGTCATATGTTTGGGGAGATAAGAGCGACCCTAGGTCCATACTAGTAAACGGACGTACTTTCGAAGTGACAAGAAACTTGTTCGAAGCACTAAACAGTATAGTCGAATCAGAGAGTTTCATTACCTGGATTGATGCGATATGCATCAATCAGGCGGATGATGAAGAGAAGGGATGGCAAGTCGCCTTAATGGGCGACATCTATCGACAGACATCTGAAGTGATAGCGTGGCTTGGACCGTCAGCACACAACAGTGATGCTGTTCTGCAACATCTCGATATACTGGGCTCGATTTCGGAATCACTGGGCCTTCCTACAGATACTTTGGCCTGCTTGACTGCGTGGAAAGTAATGCTGGGGATCATACCGCTGGAGGGTGATCTTACAGAGCCCACTTCAAATCCCAATTCCAATCCCGCCAGGCTCTCGATACCCTTGCACGCATACGAAATCCTCTTATATATTATGGGTGGCTTTGAGTCCCATCGTTACTTGCTTCCATTAGCTGATCTGGACCATCTCTTCCAGCGAAAATGGTGGAGCCGAATCTGGGTTTTGCAGGAAATCACTTTGCCGGAACGAGCCCGAATGGTCTGCGGAACGAAGCGAATATCCCGCCAACGATTTCACGCTGCCCTCAAAGTTTTTTATGCCTTTGCAGACATAATTTCGAGGTTAGGAATGCACAACCGACCATTCTCGAATTATCAACAAGAACTACTTACAACTATGTCTCCGAAAGTCTACCTGATGTTATCAATGTCCAAAATATATCAGCAACAAGAATATTCGTTGCTATCGATGATTCGAACAAATAGCTTCAATAGTTTTGCATTCGTGGGAAGCGGCGGCCAGGAACCTCTTCAAGCAACTGATCCGCGAGACAAAGTATTTGCTCTCCTAGGTCTTGTAAACGACAAGGATAGTTTAGAGGCCTTAGGCGTCTTCCCAGATTACACTAAATCAAAAGAGGAGGTATACACAACTACAATGGCTGCTATGCTACGACAAGGTCATATCTCACTTCTATCAATCTGTTGTGGTATTGAGAGACCAAATGGTTTGCCTTCCTGGGTACCAGATTGGTCTAAACCAGACCCGCCAATGCTGCAGGTAGTCGGTGATGACGATCACAACCTGTATCCCACATTTAACGCCTGTGGTTCGAAGAACGAACATCATTTCGTTTCGCCTAGCAGAGACCACGAGCGTGAGAGATTAATGATATACGTCAAACAGGTTGACGAGGTCTTCCAACTGGGTCACGTCGACAGGTTGCCCTCAATGCCCAGAGCCGTATCTCCAGTTGAGTGGCTTGATGTGATGTTGCAACTCACGTACTCTGTTGAGAAGCCATACTTGGACGTTAAGGAGCGCATGCAAACCGCAGCCAGAGCCTCGCATGCAGGTATGAGATTTGGAGAAAACAATATGCTAAAAAGAGCAAGCGAGTTCCCTGAAGCTATGCGCATACTAGAAGAAGTGTATCAAAGCGACGCAGAGAAAGGCGGTTTCCTCGAATCCCAAAGTGCTCTGAGAAGGACCCTTTTGAGATACCGCATGATGGAATTTCCTTCGGATATGCATCAGATGCTGGGTGAGATCCTGAGAATAAATGATTGCAAAGTGCCTCTCATCACAAAAAAAGGTCGCTTAGGAATTAGTGCCATGACCGTCGAGGAGGGTGACATTGTAGTATTGGTCAGTGGAGTGCAGATGCCCTTCATTCTTAGGCCTACAGGTACAAGATACCTGGTCGTTGGCGAGGCATACATTGACGGAATCATGGATGGAGAGGCAGCAGAGGACGGTGAATGGGTTCACATGGAACTTGAATAGCACTCTTATAGTTCAAAGAACATGGGTTGAATACATATTCTCCACCAATGTGTTGTTCTGGGACTGATTGGGTATGGCTGTTTTCCTTCATTATGTTCAAGTGTATCCTTCTTTCCAAACACAGCGTGCCCTATAGTGACATAATTGGTGACGGCGGTTTCGAACAGAACCACTATGATCAAGGTCTATCCCCATGTTTGCTACGTTACCACTACGCTGTCTGAAACTTATACAATTAACAGAGACCAAGAGATATTGCGGAGCTAGGAAAGATTATTTTTAACATGGGAGGTGCATTTCTTTGACACATATTCACCAGCATATCAGGCTTGTGAAATATAGGTACAGCGCGCGGACTCGATGACCATTTACTTATTGAGTCACCAGCAATGATGCATTCTTGAATATTCTTCCAAACATCCCTCCTCATTTGCGATCGTCAAAAAAACAAGTAATAACTTTTGCTTTCCTATAAAATGCGCAGTTCCGCTCAGTGCCTTGCCCAACATCCAGAAACCCATTTTCTCAAGCAGTCAAATACCAGAACATCCAGCAATTCAACCACGCTCAATTTCCCAATAACCCTCTCAGAACTTCCACACTATCATAAACTATCAAAATGCTCATGTCTCGCCACAACCATCGTGCTTGCCGCCATGGCCACATGTGCCGCAGCATCCCCTTCGATCCCGCGCGCCACACCCCAGCCCCAGCCCCAGCCCACCCCGCCACAGAATGGAACTACACCCCCCAAGACTCCGAAGAACTATTCATAAAATGGGGACCCTACACCATCCCCCACCTCATCAAAGCCTCTCCCCACTATACCAAAACCACCGTCGACGTCGATCCCTACGCCAAACTACAGTTTCCCGAGAAGTCGGAGAGTACGGAGCGCGTTATCCATGCTGTGCATCCGATTCCGAGGGCGGAACTTGAGGATCTAGGTCCGAATTGCGTGAGGCAGCTTGGGGAGAGGTTAAGGGGGGAGGTGGAGGAAGAGATGCAGAGTTCGAGGCTGCGGTGCAGAGGACGTTGAAGAGGATTGATGATTGTCTTGAGTTTTACTTTTGTGTGGAGAGGCCGGGGGCGAGGGTGGTTAGTGGGCAGTAGGGCTTGTTGTTAGTGGTGGGATGTGAGGCGATGTTAGCTATTTGAGTGGCTGAGGAAAATTAGGAGATTGTAGTTTGCTCTTGAAATCAAAAGTTTATCCACGCTGAATCTTTATTCTGATGATCATTGGTGATTGAAAAGAAGGAAATTGTGAATGGCGGTTCTAGAATTTCGTCGGTTAGGTTGATCTTGGTTCTCTGCAGCAGAAATATATATACGGCTTCAAGTCGGGGATGGATACCGACACCATGGCGGAACATCCATCAATACTTGGCAGTTTGATATGTTGAGTATTCTATGTAATCCGGGTATGCCACCAACGAGATAAAGCAATCAAAATCTTAGCTTGCCGCTATTGCCAATTCCCCGATTTCTCAAATTGTCTCCATTCCATCATATACTCGACACAAAAACACGTCACAACCACATAAGTTGTTGATACTAAACACAAAGAAACCTCATATGCTACAAAAGGGTGATTCTTCAGTCCATTCAATCCCTACATCCATTCAATTCTGTGACCTCAAACCACCAGCAAAATTGAACATGTGTACCTTGAATCTGCACTCATGGAAGAAGCCTCAAACAACCCGCCATGACCTGCCAACTCCACCACAAGTATATATAATCCCCATATTCCCAGCCTTCTAGCATCCCCATACTACTACCAAAGCACTCCAGCCCATTCAAACGAACACTTTTTTTAAACCCCCCCCAAACTCTCAGAACCACCTATACACAATGTCTCTCCTAACCCGCCCCCCACCCCCCTCAACCCACACCTTCCTCTCCCGCCCCAACACCTTCACCCTCCCCCTCCCCATAGGC